GCAAAAGTGGGAATATAACCTATGCTGCATTCTTCGGGTGTTGGGCCCAACAGCGGCTGCCGTTGATAAATTTCATTCGCGGCCGCCATTTCCTTTTGGTCGCCTCCCAAACGAGTGGGGGACCCTCCCCATGGCTGATGTACGGGAAAGGCAGTCACGGCTTAACCCACGAGTGCGACTTTGGTTTTCAGGCTCTATCTGGCTGGCTCTTATAAGCCTGCCTCAGTCTACAGCAGATACATGGAGAAGTTTTTTTGAGCTCAGGATCTGGTCCAAGGTGTCCTGGATTGTATCCAATTTGTTGTCAATGTATGCGTGCATGGACAGGATGCTCGCGTTAAAAATATTTTCAATATTACTAAGGGTCAAGTCATCTAACCCCTCCAGTGCAGCTTTGTCTGCCTCCCTACCCTCTAGTCTGACACTCCTGTCTCTAATCTCTTTCTCTCTTTTAGTAGCCTGTTTAAGTTCCTCCTCTAGCCTCAAGCCAATCTTTTCTACCTGTTGGAGCTCCATCTGTTCCCGGGTGCGTGGAAGCGGCAAGTTGAACTGCGAACCCGCCATCTGACTAGTGCCTGCTCCTGACGTACTGGAGATGGACTGTGAACTGGTCACGTTGAGTGGCATGCCCAAACTCTAACCAGTAGAGTTTCCAGCAGAAGTTGCTGAAGAGGTAGCCATTGATACCGCGCCAGCTGCTGCTGCTGCCAACGCCCGTTCAGCCGCTGTTGTTGCCTCTCTCGCAGTCTCTAGATTACGGGCCCTTGCTTCAGCCCTAAGTCTTCTCTCGTCTCCCAGTAGTAGAACCTGGAACACTACGGGTATCCTACTGGTCCCCCGCCGTGTCTGCCTCCTATCATCAAATGTATCCTCACTACCCTCAGATTCACTCATGGGCTAGGCAGACATTGTTTGCACTACTGTCCTCTTTGGGACCTACAGCAGCATGCATCTGACCAGTTCTAAAAATAAATAAACAAACAATGTTCGGCGAGTTACCTAGTCATTGTCGGATAGCTCACCCTTTTACCCTGAGCTTTAAAGCTTACTTTTTGGAAAGCATCTTAGGATGGGACGCTGGACCCGGTTTCCAGCAGTTTGGTCGATATATTTGGAGCAGTTACTTTGGTTGTCGAGCTTGGCTCGTAAGCGAGACTGGCTGAGGCTGCCAGGATAACTCTGGGTGGAATTGTGAGGTCCCTGGCCTCGTCCCAATGATTTTTTGCAATAAAATTTTCAAGCTTTCAAAAAAAAAAAAAAAAAAAAAAAAAAAAAAAAACTTGCACTCGCCACGGGTTGAAGGCATATCCAAAGCGCGGCCACCGTCTGCAAGGCACAAAGCTTCAGGTGAAGGGTGCTGGCACTGACGGTTCAAACCACCGGTACCTTCGAGCCTCTTTGTCCTGATACGGGGATTTGCGCGGAGTGCCAAAGAACAACAAACCACTGGCGGCACACTTTTTCCTTTTTTGGCCGGCACTGCCAGGTAATTTTGGGCCTACAGGAGGTGGGTGACTCCAGGACGGGGCCACAAAAAAACTTTGGCACTACAGGAGGTGGGCCTACAGGAGGTGGGTGACTCTTTTTTTTTTTTTTTTTTCGGACCATTTCTCAATTTGTGCAGGGGCCATGCTAATCTTCCTTCTCTACATCGTTCCAATTTTAACCAATGTCCCAAAGGACGGGGGCACAAAATCCTAAGTGTCCCCACTTTGGCAATTTTCGCAAACTTCGTTCCAAATTTCAGAAAAACAACTCTTCGCTTATACAGTACAAGCCACTGTATAGGGTAAACACAATACACACACACACAAAAAAAAAAAAAAAAAAGGCTTCGCCTGTCAAAAAACTAGGCTTAGGAGCAGTTGTCGATAGGTAGTGAAAGGTGAAATCGAGAGAAGAATATAGCTTGCAAAAGGGGAAACAAAGAAAGAAAGAAAGAAAGAAAGAAAAAAAAAAAAGGGCACAGTTGCAATGCACATGGCGGGCACTTCCAGGCCCAAGCCCCACACCAGTTTGGTAGCCCTGGGGCAGGCAAATCAAGAATCAGGAAAGCAAGGCTCAGAACTTCGGAAGTACCCGTGGTTTAAGAGTGCCACAACAACACGACAGTGCACAACGCAGGTTCCCTACAGCAAGCAAGCATTCAGTCAGCTCTGCACCAAAAAATGTATGCATAATAATAAGTTAATAACATTTCTTTGTTTTTTTTTGTTTTTTTTTTTTCGGGAACGGGCAGTAGACCGAGGTATTGGAGGTAAAAGTCTAATATTTGACTCCGTACTTGTCAAGGGTCACATGGTGGAAGACTTCCCCCATTTAAAATGCAACAACAATAACCTACCTACAAGCGGCAACCACATGATGACCCTTCATTTACTACCAAGTTAACAACCAACTCCAAATCCAAATCCGGAGATGAGAATCGGAGCCAAGTACCATTCCCTCAAAGCCATAGGGCATCGCCACACCACTCTCGAAATGTGCAAAATGAGAATGAACTTCCTGCTAGAACATGGCCAGATGCGCACAGCACATTTTTGTCTTTTTCACATTTCGAGAGGGGTGTGGCGAGGCCCATAATAAGCATTTTTACGCGGACTGAATACATTCTCCTCAAGGAAAACCACAGCACTGCGCAGCAGTGCAATGAAGAAATTTTTGCCCTCAAAGCACCCCAACGATAACCCCCCCGGGGCACAAGTGCCCTCTCTATGTGCCCAGGGTCACATAAAGTGTTCCAGAACATCCCGAGAGCTGCTCTTAAATCCTTTTAACCTTTTTTTTTGAGGGGGGGGGGGAGG